TGTCACGATCTTCTGAGTGGTAAGAGCGTGTGTTGCCTCTACGCTCCTCTTCTGTTGCCACTTATTTGCCTTTTATCTGGTGCTTCATTGTCTCCATGTCTGCCACCATCCTCCGCATCAATTCGTCCTGTTCCCTTACCCGATCTTCTAGAACCTGAGAATCCAACATTCGCCTCTACCTTTTAGGGCTTTGGGAGCGACGAGGACTAGAGCCCCGTCTTTCACGGGTATCCCTTCGCGGGTTTTATCGCTGGGGATCTGACTCTGCAATGGATGGGATAAAAGGTAAGCCTTTGTGCCTTCTGCCCCCCTCTGGGGTTTGCCCATCAATGGCAAAGTGTGGCAAGTCTTTATTGTGCATCATTGAATTAAGTTGAAAGAAAACTTAATCAAGAGGTTCGTTCTTTGTGATTGCAATTCCCACAGATGGCGTCAATTGTACGAGCACAGAAATAATCTTCTTGTATAATCCTGTTGATCAAATTTGCACTACTTCAAACGCCGTCGCTTTCTCACCTGAAAACACAAACGTGAGCTAGTCGCCGGGTGTGTGCCGGAAACCTCTTTGATGCCTAAGTCAGTAAATAGACAATAGACACAAAAGCTCTGTGTATTCCCGAGTAAGAATTGTGATACTTGTACATAGATCCTGTCATGAACTTTTATAGATTTTGTCTGACACAATCCTAGTAGGACTCCAACCCTCCTTATAAGAGTCCTTATAGGAATCACACTCTCAAGGATAATGCCTATCCTGATAACACCCTACTCACTACCAACCAAGTGAGATGGTTTGCACAATCCCAGTAGGACTCCAACTCTCCTTAGCAGAGTCCTCCTAAGAGTCTCATGTCCAAGGATAATGTTTATCTTTAGAACACCCTCATCACTACAAGCCAAGTGAGATGGCCACTCCCTTATACTCGAATATACATTCCTGACCGAGCTGCCTTATCTCGGTCCCCTGCCGTTCGAGCCGTGTGACCGGAAGCCGATTTACCGAATTGCACCCTGCCGAGCTACACATAACTCGGCCCTCTTTATTGACAACATCTCGGTTTGATAACAGACTACTTTCAGATAGCTAGGTCTAGGCTCTAGCAACTCATCTCTGATCGGCCTTGTGACTTCTTAGCCCATGATCGAGCTACACCAGCTCTTTAACTCGGCCCATTTGTGCGGCCCAACTTCCAACGAAGATTCTTCCTAACTCGACCCAATTTGTTCACAAATTACCCTCTCAATTTGATTATTTTTTTTTGGTTGACTTCTTTTTAAAAAATGTGTAAAAAACTAAAAAAAATAATGTGATTCAAATAAATTCATAAACTAATAAATTAACTTCTTTTTTTTCAGTTGCCAAAATAGGCCTTAATCAGCTTAAATAGCAAGCGTTTAAAATTCGATCAAAAATTTTTTGATTCTTAAATCTAAATCTTCTTTTCTAGTGTGTTAAATCATCTGTAATAATTAAATATATCTTGAGATTTTAGTATTTTTAAATTTTTGCATAATATAAAGACTATAAATAATTTGAGATTGGAGACAAATAGATTTAAGGGTGATTTGGAATTTGCTTATTTCTCTTTTGGCAACAAGTTTAGAAGCCAATTTATTAGTTTATTGGTTTATTTGGGTCATATCATCTCTGTACTTTTTACATGTTTTTTTATAATAAGTCAAAAAGTCAACTTATAAGCAATTTTTCAAAACAATCCTAGTAACTTTTTGATTTTTTACAAAAAAAAATTGGTAGAAAAATAGAGAGGTTAAGTGAAAACTTATAGTAAAATAAGCAAAGCAGTATATTTATAGAGACAAATAATCCTTAATTTTAAAATATTTAGAGTTGATGGTACAAAATCCATTAAAATTTAATGAAGCACAAATTAAAATAGCCAAACAAAAATGGCTAACAAATATTTTCCACCCTCTCACCATGGTTGGGCTGCTACTAAACAATGAAATGTTATTTTTTTCAAGTACATTTATGCGACTAATAATTGAGCTAATTCAATTAATTGCTCTCTATTCGAGAGGTCAGGGATTAATTTTTTTCAAAGATAAATATTAATTATTTCTTCTCTATTATAAGAATTGTATTAATTTTTTTTTTTATTTCCTTTCATTATGGGCTTTCTTATGGTGGTTGGTGAGCTTCTAACTATGTGTTATTGAACCATAATTATCTAATTTAATAAAGAATCTTCTATCAATTGAAAGAAAAAAATATTTCATTTGTGCATTGATTGGATTGCCGTTTGCCAAGTACAAGTAGTGATTGGAGTCCATATATAAAGCCTTGTCTATCATTGTTTTAAGCCACTCAACTCAAGTTCAGCTTGTATAATCTAGAAGTCATTCACTCAAAACTAACTAATTTTGAATTAAATGTCCCCAAAATTGTAACATAATGTCAAAGTCAAAAGCTAACTTTTAAAATGAACGCACGTGCTCACTCGGCAACACCTGTCACGTGCCGACCAGGGACATTGAAACATACATCAAAATTTGAGAGAATGATTGTTTCAATTACAAGATGAAAGCTCGAAGTGAAGTTCGGTTGAAAGTTAATGGGTTAAAAATGTAATTTACTATAAGTATTATTTTATAGTTTATTATAATAAATTCTTGAAAAAATTATAAACAGTCTATGCCTTTATGCCAACTAAGAAAGAAAAGAAATGTTATTCTCTTAATCTCAACAGGTCTCCCATAGAAATAAATAAAATTAATTAAAAGTTAATTTCAACATTCTTTTTTTTTTTTAGATGGTTCATTTCAACATTCTAAACCATGCTATTGATTGTGACTTGCATGTGAAAAAAAGTAGTAGTTTTATGATATTTATTTTTAATAATTAGTAGGAAGGGGAAAAAGATGGAAAAATTGCATAGTATATTGGTAAAATTCAAATTCAGACATTAACATTTGTATAAAAGTCTCTCTCATGCATTAGAAGAAGTAAAGATGTGTTTGTTGATCTTAAATTCATGAAAGAATTTGTATAGAAGAAAAGAAACGTAAAAGAGATATGAATTAAAAACTTCGTGATTACGTAAAGAAAAAATATTTTTTATTATTATTTATGCAGATCTTATAATTTTCTTCTACTCCCACTAATCAAGTCCTTAAAAATCAATAAAACATAAACGATAAAAAAAAATGATTTTATTTTTGCATTTTTGCAACTTGAAAATGATACCTTATCATATGTTTCTTTGTTTAACATTTGTTTAGGTAACTAATAGACTAAGATAAGAGTCCAAATCAGATTAGCATTTGTTTGTTTATTCTCTGGACTACTTTACAAGTAATAGAAATATGAAATTAAATCACATTCCACACACACACATATGCTATTGGACCATTTTGGCATATATATTTCTCATTGAAAAAAATTATCAATACAAAGATCGATCACATAATTAGATACAGGGATGTTTTGGAAAGATAACAAAATGCGGGCTTTTAATTTTTTACTCAATTTTTTGACTTTTTTATAAAGTGATTTGGAAAATTGGTAAAAAGATGCTTTTAACTTTTTTGATTAATATTTATTTATGATATTACATCACAATGAAATGACTAAATTACCACCTAATTTAAAAAATTTACAATTTCAACTATGTGGCTTGTTTTAATCCATGAAATGTATTGTTGTATTTCACAAGTAGCTTTTTTTTTCTGTCAAATGGTTTTAATGGTAAAAAGCCATTTTGACTTTTTTGAGAAAATATGCAAAAGGCAGCTTTTTTTGGCAAGATGTCAAAACGGCACATAATCATCTCATTTAAAATGAATTTTATTTTGTAAATGCAAATAAAATAATTAGTTTTGAAATATGAAAGAAAAATGATTTTGATAGTATCTTTTTCGATTCATACATTAAAAAAAAAAATCATTAATTGATAGTTTCAATTAATCTTCCATCCATCACTACGAGAAAAGCTGGCTATGACGACGTTTGAATCAAAGATGTTTTATGAAACGCTGTGGTATATCTCAATAGCCAACACGTTTTTCAAGCCATGATGCCAGTTGATGGTCTCAATGAGCCAGGTCTGTTTTACTTAACAGACACTTAACCCCATTCCAATTACCAAAGTAAAACAATCTCTCATGAGCTGCTCTTCTCTCTCGCGATTAATGTCGATCTCTCTCACTATAGCGGTTCTTCATTGGATACTCGAACTCGATCTTTTTCACTCTAGTTGTTCTTCATCGAACTCTCTCTCTCTCTCTCTCTCTCTCTCTCTCACAAATCACAGATCCGAAATCGAACAAGAAAGTCGATCATCTTCATCTGATCTGATCTGATCTGATCTGATCTCTCTTGCATTTTGTTAGATCTGTTCTTGCCCTAGCTTTTCTTCATCGAACTCAAACTCGATCTCTCTCGCAAATTGTAGATCCGAAATCGAACAAGAAAATCGATCTAATCTCATCAAAATCCGAACTCGATCTCATCTGATATCTCTCGCATTTTGTTAAATCTGCTAATTAACAAGGTTTCAAGCAAGTCGTTTTTATTTTGTTTTTCATTAACAAGTGTTAATAGGTGTTTGATTTCTTTGTAGGTGGCGATGAAGTGTAGAGATCGGTTACATGAACTTGTAAAGGAAGAGATAGAGAAGAAGGATTCGAGTACGGAGGAGTGGAAGATCGCGATGGAGAGTAGCTTCAATCGCATGGACAATGAGGTGATATTGTGTGAACTTGACCAATTTCTTGGTTACCAAACACACCAGTGCTCTGACTCTCCAGGTCTGTCCCTTCGTTCTAACACAGCTTCTTTCCTGTTTTAGTTTGGCATTAGTGATATCTTAAAAGAACTGGGGACTCTTTATTTGTCATTGAAATATAAATAAGAGGATTTTTTCTACATGATGATCGAGGATATGATTATTAATTAAGGTTTTAACATAAAAATCATTAAGGAAAAACTGTAAGTTTTAACATTGATAATTCCTTGTAATATGTTAGTTCTTCAGTTTGGTCCTACATCTAATTGTTTTCAGAGCATCATTTGTGAAAACCAGTGCTCATTTTGATATCATCTCTGGCAAGAGCTAGTACGGCTTGAAAATGTCAAGCTAAGACTATTATGAAGTAAATAGGGTCTGTCTCAGCGTCCGTACGATCCCACCGATGACTATGAGTTTGATACAACTGTTTATGATGATGATGAGGATTCATTTGATGATGAGTACCCATCTGGGTTTTCTGAGATCGACTTCTTGTCTGACGTTGACAATGATTATGAATTCTCAGGCGGCGGCAGTGATTATTCTGACTATGGAGAGCTGTTTTTTGATGACTACTAATCCTCTGTTGGGTTGAAAAGCCCAGGGTATGTACTCTACATCCTTTTATCAATTTTTGAGGCTCATAACACTTAAGGGATGTTATTTAAACCCATTATTAGGACACCATTTTAGTGCACAAATTTGAATATCATCAAGCTTCATTGATGAGATTGTCTGTGTTTTGCAGGTGGAGATCGATTGATAGGATGGCTAAAACATAAAGTGGGTTAGGTCTGGCTCTTATTATCTGAGTTATGTTGTAGCTTTTGTCCGTAGGGGGGGTGGCGTATTGTTATGACTATGTTATGTCTCTCTAGTTATATTTCGATATGACTTTTCATGTTTTGGTTTTGTCTGCCTCTGTTTCTGTAGAAAGATATCATCATGATGTGTTTAGTTGGACTTGGTTCTTATTGTGAAACAAATAATATTCGTCTGGTTTATATAAAGAAAAATGCCTTGTAGTTCGAGCACTGGTGTGACAATCCTCCGAAGTTGCCTGAAGGAGCTGTGTTCTTATGTTCGTGCAATGTTATGCAATACTTTATAGCCTATGACAAGACTTTGTACCCATGAATTGTCATTTATACAATTCAACTGGATTTTTAGTTTTGTTTACTCGTTTTAGTCATTTACATATTTTCAGTTTTTCGAGTTCTCTTACTTGTTTTTTTCTTTTGACATGCATGACTAGTATCATCACTTGTCTAGTTTGAAGTTTGGCATCTTTGTTACATTGAAAATGTAAAGGTGCAGTTACTTTACAGTACCAATATCATTTACATTGTAATCTCTTTTCATAACAGGCATACTTTTATTCTCTCTACTGTGGAGAAAAAACAAATATGGAGTACTGTCGAGAAGCACCTCACGGACAACCAAGCGGAGGCAAGTTTGGCTTGACTTTTTAAGTGGAATGGTTAATATAATTTATTCTTGGCTAACTTATGCACATGTATTTTGAATGCTTTTTCTTTTTTTCTTTTTTATTTTTTTTTCATGTTAAGAACACTTGCATGATAGTTTCTTTGCTTGGGTTTCAGTTGTATAGGAGTCCAGACACCGTCTTCAGCTCCTTCCCTACATGCCAATAAAAAGGAAATAATTGTGAAATGAAACAATTGATTTTGTATAAAGTGTCTTTTCTTTCACTGAAGGATTGAAATTTTTCTATAAAATGAACATGGTATTTTACTTTTGTCTTGCTGCTTATGCTAGAATTCTAAGGACTCTGGTAGCAAATAACAGTTGATGAATTTAATGTGATTACAAAAAAGGTTAGTGTTCAAAGTGCCCCCATTCTTTAAAAGATGTGAACTTTATTCCTTTTTCAATTTGTTGGTTTGGTTTTATAAGGAGTAATGTAGTAGTACAGTTCTCCACAATCTTAGGATGGCAATGATTACAGCAATGATTTTACATGTTCTATTTATATGTGATTATGGGTAGTGTTTCATCATGACCTTTTCTCATACGACAGATAACTTAATATATATTTCGTAGTTTAATGATAGTTTGTGATTAGGAGGGTAGGGCCCCGAAATAAAATACAATATAGAAGAGCCCAGAGTTTCTTGGATTTAACAACGGTCCTTTAATTGTTTCCACACTCGTAGAAGAGGTTAGAGCCCTACATAGGATTTTGTCACTTCTAACTGTAACATGTAGTTTTTTTGTGCAGGTAAGAGAACATGCTGCAGTAGTTTTAGCAGGCCTAATGAAGGGTGGGGATGAAAACCTAGCTGAAGACTTCCGTGGTAGGGCTTACAGAGATGCAAATGCAATTCAAAAGAAGAGAAGACAGAGGTCATTTTCTTGGTTTTGAAGCTTTCTTGTTATCCTAGTTACTAGATTAATTTCTCTAGGGAGGAACAATCTTCAGATATTCAGTCATTTACACATGTTCACTTCTAGTCGGATGTCATAAACATACATAATGGTTTATGATGCATCTATTTCTTACCAAAAAGAGTTTGTGATGCATATATAACTTGTGGAGTGGGTTCGAGTGATATTGCTTTTGCACATGATACATTGGATATTGATTAATTTCTATGTACTGTATTCATGTACGTATATATTCATATTAGTTGCTGTAGTTATTAAGTTCTATTGCTTGTGCATATGATGCATTGAATATTGAATGGTTCATGCCTTTGTTTTGGTATTCAATATTTGGTTAATGTTTCTGTGTGCATTATGCATTGGTAACTTATTAAATATCTCCTGCTACTTGATATATTCCCTTTATATACTGATCCAAAGCTTGGAAATTTACTGATGCAGAAATTCAAGTTCTGGTCTGTCCATAGCTTCTATACACGGTGTTGTACTTGCTTTGGCAGCTTGTGTTTTATCTGTTCCATATGATATGCCGAGGTATGTTCATGTCTAACATATACTAGGGCTGTGTTTGGATTTAGGATTAGGGTAGAGATTTGTGGTGGAAAAAAAAAGGTGAAGGAAATATGAATGAAGTATAAACTAAAATTTTACTTTATTTCCCTGGTCTTAATGGAACAATTTTGACATTTAAAAAAAAAAAAAATTCAATTTTTTTTATTTTTTGTTTTGTTTCAGTTGGTTGCCTGAGCATGTTACATTGCTGGCTCATTTTGTGGGAGAATCGTCACCTGTGAAATCTACGGTTACGAAAGCGGTTGCAGAGTTCCAGAGGACCCACGCAGATACATGGAACATTCAAAAAAATTCATTTACTGAAGATCAACTTGAGGTAGATTCATATGAAATATATATTCTTGTATGCTTCCATATCTTAAGTTGTTAGCTCTCCTTTTCGTTAATTTTCTTCTTTAATTTAATTACTTGCAGGTTCTGGCTGATACATCCTCTTCATCATCATATTTTGCTTGATCCCTTTTTAAGAGAAAGGATATAATAGGAATAGGATTCGACTAAAACATGAGAAGCTATATTGTCCTTGATTTTATATTACGATCATTAATAAAATGGGTTTTATTTACATTTTGCATATTTTATATTACGAGAAAATATTTTTTCTCCTTAACCTTCCTTTAAATTTTTTTTAACAGGTATTAAAGTTGCATTTAGATCATTCAGGAACACAAGGTCATAGGAGAGGATCACAATCTGGAGGTATAGAGTATGCTCAATCAGATGTGTGGGCTTCAGCATACAGTGCTTTAGCTGCAGGGGCTGCACTAATTGCCGGATTAAGCATGTTAGCATACTGAGGACGAATGGTAACTGATAATTATTTATACCCTTCTTTCAGTTTATAAAATTGATGTATTGGGAGCAGCAGTAGAAGAAGAACTGAGTTTCTGTGACTACCACAGATAAAGCTAAAATTGATCAATGATGCTGGCTGGCAGGTCTCATGCTCAACATTTGTTTGTGTATATTAATATCTCAATAATTTTATTGAGTCAGAACCAACAACATACATCAATTGCATTTATATTTCTGTGGTTAGTTTTGTATCCATAAAATTATTGTTTATATCTGCAGGGAATTATTTATTCATTTATTATTATTTTTCTATTGGGTATTCCCGTAGTTTACATGATGGGATGGGTGAGAATTGTTTGTGAGGAGCATTTGTAGCTTCCTGAACTCTGGATTTGTGCATTATTAATGGGCTGCATCTGAAATTTTCAAATGTTGCTTTTCTGCAGCGAAGTTGTCAAACATTCATTATTGAACCAAATATGAAATTAGGAAAATTCTATGATACACACTCATTTATACACCTCTAGTTACAAATTTTGTAATATTTGATTATGATATTTGAGGAAATTGTTTATTTATTATTTTAATAAACATCAATTATACATGTTCACTTCTAGTCGGATGTCATAAACATACATAATGGTTTATGATGCATCTATTTCTTACCAAAAAGAGTTTGTGATGCATATATAACTTGTGGAGTGGGTTCGAGTGATATTGCTTTTGCACATGATACATTGGATATTGATTAATTTCTATGTACTGTATTCATGTACGTATATATTCATATTAATTGCTGTAGTTATTAAGTTCTATTGCTTGTGCATATGATGCATTGAATATTGAATGGTTCATGCCTTTGTTTTGGTATTCAATATTTGGTTAATGTTTCTGCGTGCATGATGCATTGGTAACTTATTAAATATCTCCTGCTACTTGATATATTCCCTTTATATACTGATCCAAAGCTTGGAAATTTACTGATGCAGAAATTCAAGTTCTGGTCTGTCCATAGCTTCCATACACGGTGCTGTACTTGCTTTGGCAGCTTGTGTTTTATCTGTTCCATATGATATGCCGAGGTATGTTCATGTCTAACATATACTAGGGCTGTGTTTGGATTTAGGATTAGGGTAGGGATTTGTGGTGGAAAAAAAAAAGGTGAAGGAAATATGAATGAAGTATAAACTAAAATTTTACTTTATTTCCCTGGTCTTAATGGAACAATTTTGACATTTAAAAAAAAAATCGATTTTTTTATTTTTTGTTTTGTTTCAGTTGGTTGCCTGAGCATGTTACTTTGCTGGCTCATTTTGTGGGAGAATCGTCACCTGCGAAATCTACGGTTACAAAAGCGGTTGCTGAGTTCCAGAGGACCCACGCAGATACATGGAACATTCAAAAAAATTCATTTACTGAAGATCAACTTGAGGTAGATTCATATGAAATATATATTCTTGTATGCTTCCATATCTTAAGTTGTTAGCTCTCCTTTTTGTTAATTTTCTTCTTTAATTTAATTACTTGCAGGTTCTGGCTGATACATCCTCTTCATCATCATATTTTGCTTGATCCCTTTTTAAGAGAAAGGATATAATAGGAATAGGATTCGACTAAAACATGAGAAGCTATATTGTCCTTGATTTTATATTACGATCATTAATAAAATGGATTTTATTTACATTTTGCATAATTTTATATTACGAGCAAATATTTTTTCTCCTTAACCTTCCTTAAAAATTTTTTTAACAGGTATTAAAGTTGCATTTAGATCATTCAGGAACACAAGGTCATAGGAGAGGATCACAATCTGGAGGTGTAGAGTATGCTCAATCAGATGTGTGGGCTTCAGCATACAGTGCTTTAGCTGCAGGGGTTGCACTAATTGCCATATTAAGCATGTTAGCATACTTGAGGAGGAATGGTAACTGATAATTATTTATACCCTTCTTTCAGTTTATAAAATTGATGTATTGGGAGCAGCAGTAGAAGAAGAACTGAGTTTCTGTGACTACCACGGATAAAGCTAAAATTGATCAATGATGCTGGCTGGCAGGTCTCATGCTCAACATTTGTTTGTGTATATTAATATCTCAATAATTTTGTTGAGTCAGAACTAACAACATACATCAATTGCATTTATATTTCTGTGGTTAGTTTTGTATCCATAAAATTATTGTTTATATCTGCAGGGAATTATTTATTCATTTATTATTTTTTTTCTATTGGGTATTCCCGTAGTTTACATGATGGGATGGGTGAGAATTGTTTGTGAGGAGCATTTGTAGCTTTCTGAACTCTGGATTTGTGCATTATTAATGGGCTGCATCTGAAATTTTCAAATGTTGCTTTTCTGCAGCGAAGTTGTCAAACATTCATTATTGAACCAAATTGAAATTGGGAAAATTCTATGATACACTCATTTATTATTTTTAAAAAAATGTATAAAGTATTTTAATTTTCTTTTTAAGCTTAGTTTATTTATTATTTTAATAAATATCAATTATTAGTTCTTAATAATTGTTTATCATAGGTATTTTTTTTTTGTTCAACCATAAAAAATTAGCATAATTTTTTTTTTAAAAAAAAAGCTATGGCGGCGTTTTTAAAACGTCACTATATCTCAACCTAACGGCTAAATTTTTAAAATGTATAAATGTCTATGACGGCGTTTCAAAACGTCGCTAATTATCATAGTGTGACGTCAGAGACTGTTAGGGTAAGACATTTAGCGGCGTTTTTAAAACGCCTCCTATACTTATATCACGACGTTTTTAAAACGTCATAAAGCTATAGCGACGGCTGCGTCCTCGGCGTTTGGTGTTAAACGTCACAAAAAAAATTGGCGGCGTTTTTGACACTTATAGCGGCGTTTTTTAAACGCCGCTAAAAATAGATTTTCCAACAGTGCATCTATCGACGAATTCTCAGCATGTTCAAATTATTGTGTCTTGTCCGAGGTACCATGGTCCATGTAATCCATTATGTCATTGCATGTCTATTCTAATGTCAATAAATAAATAAAATAATTGGTACAAATTTTCCATTTGATGTAACTTTTCTTGGATATATAATAACTCAGGTCAAATTTGCCACTAAATCCAATTCTTACCAAATGCAATCCTTAGAGTTAACATTATTATATGTTGACACTTATTCATCGGATTTAAAAAAATGTAATTGTCTTGTCTCCTAATCTTTCTCAATCCCTTATTTGGTTGATCAAAATGAGGAGACTTAGTAGTCTAATCGAACTTGTTATCTCTCTAATCCCACTTTTGCTTTCCCTCCATTTAATTGTCGTACTTATCATCAAAACTTATTTTATTCTTTATTTTAACTTCATCAAACATAAAAAAATATTGTCATAACATATTAAAATGTACTTTGATATTTTCGAACTTGTGACATGTAATATTAATTCTATGGATATATAGTTGGGCCAACGGTATATGTATCTCCTTTTATAACTCATCTATATATAATAAAAATTACTACAACCACGAACACATCCTAATTTTGGTATGAAAATACTATGTTGTTGTGTGTGCATATGATTTATAATTCTTATTCGGATAAATTACACTTTACCCCGTATAGTTTTACCCATTTCTCACTTTAGCCCTTTATGTTTGTAATCTTTCGCATTTTTGCCTTTTATATTTGCAATGCTTCTCATTTTACTCCTAAACTAACTTCCATAAAAAAAAAGTAACATAATTTGTCACATCACTAACATATCAGCTCTATATGTGATGTAAAAATTTCACTAAAGATGCAAAAAATAAAAAATAAAAAAAAATTGGAATTTTTTTAGCCTTTAGTGAAAAAAATTTTCAAATTTATTTATAAACATTATTACATTATAGATACATCTAAATTAGATGCAGCTAAAAAAATAAAAACAAATTTAACTAAAAAAAAAAAAGATAGTAATGTTTTCATTTCAGAATTGACAATATAGGTGTTTGAGTCAGTATATTTTTATTTTTTTTGTTTTTAGTAAATTTTTTTCTTTTTTAGTTAAATTTGTTTTTATTTTTTTAGGTGTATCTAATCTAGATGCATCTATAATGTAATAATGTTTTGTGAATAAATTCGAGAAAAAAAAAGTTCACTAAAGACCAAAAAAAATTATATTTTTTTTGTTTTCTATTTCTTATTTTTTTCATCTTTAGTGAATTTTTTACATTACATATGGAGCTGATGTGTTAGTGATGTGGCAGAATCTGTTAGTTTGTGGGATGAAAGTTAGTCTAGGAATAAAGTGAGAATGATTGCAAATATGAAGGGTCAAAGTGAGATGGATTGCAAACATGAAGCACCAAAGTGAAAAAAATTAAACTTAAAGGACCAAAGTGTAAAGGATTGCAAACATAAAGGGCCAAAGTGAAAAAAATTAAACTTAAAAGGTCAAAATGGAAAATGAGTGAAACTTTAAAGGGCAAAGTATAATTTACCCTTCTTATTCATTGTTGTTTTTAATTTTCAAAATCTTACCGATTCTGATTTATAATTCTTATTTATTGTTGTTTTTAATTTTCAACAATCTCACTGATTCTGATTTATAATTCTTATTTATTGTTGTTTTTAATTTTCAAGAATCTCACCGATTCTAATTTATAATTCTTAAAGTTATTTTGGTAACATATTTTTTTAATTAAAAAATTAAAAAATTATAATAAAAAAATTAATTTTATCCTTTATTTTATTACACGTCCTTTTATAAAAATTAAATAAAATAATCCATCCTCAAAAACAACCCTTATTTATTGTTATATTTTAGATGGTTGGTTGAGTTGGGTCTTCTTCTAGAAGGATGATTAAAATTACTGTCCAAATTATCTCTGCGATTAGCTAAAATTGACTTGACCCAAGCTTTAGAGTCTACCATGACAATTTCCAAAGTTTAAAAAAATAATAGAAATAAAAAATAAAATATCATTTGTAAGCCGAAAAAAATAGACCAGATTTTGAGGCCAACTAACCTGGGTGATTTGACTTGTCAGCCAACTTAGGCCTATTTGGATAATTAAGAAAAAAATTAATTATTTAATTTTTTTTGTTGACTTCTTTTAAAAAAATGTGTAAAAAAATAAAAAATATAATATAGTTAAAATAAATTCATAAACCAATAAATTAATCTTTTTTTTTTCAGTTGCCAAAATAGGCCTTAATCAGCTTAAATAGCAAGTGTTTAAAATTTGATTAAAAAATTTTTGATTCCTAAATCTAAATCTTCTTTTCTAGTGTGTTAAATCATCTGCAATAATTAAACATATCTTGAGATTTTAATATTTTTAAATTTTTGCATAATATAAAGACTAAATAATTTGAGATTGGAGACAAATAGATTTAAGGGTGATTTGGACTTTTGGCAACAAGTTTAGAAGCCAATTTATTAGTTTATTTGAGTCACATCACCTCTGTACTTTTTACACGTTTTTTTATACTAAGTCAAAAAGTCAACTTATAAGTAACTTTTCAAAACAATCTTAGGCCTCGTTTGGGAACAGGCTAATTTAGTAACTTTTTGGCTATTTGGCTAAAAAGGTAGGTAAAAAAAACTTGTATGTTTGAGATGACTTTTTGGCTAATTACGAAAAGATGTGCAAAAAGTAGAGAGAAAAGAGAATCTTTGACTTTTTGGTATGAGTTGTTGGCTTTTTGGCTAATTTAGTAACTTTTTGGCTAATTGGCTAAAATAGCCTCTTGCCAAACGAGGCCTAAGATCTTGAATATAAACTTAAAAGTTCCTCAGAATCAAATAAAAGTTTCAGATGAAGTTATGGATATAGTATAATTGTTTTGATAGAAACCAAATTAATAGAACAAGAGTTAGCTCCGGAGCTATTCTACAAAGAAAGCAAGTTGGTTTATTAATGATTGACTTCGGATAGAAAATACTTAACAAAGTAATCCCATAACTTAGACAAAAAATACTAACACGGGTGAGAATTGAAGTGTGGAATCACTTTACACGTGATATTCCAATGGAAAATATTTGGTAATTCAAATTTTTGTGGCTCAAATGGTTCAAATCCGTCAAAACGACGTCGTTTTACACTCATTTCTACTCAAAACGATGTCGTTTTGAGTGATTTGAGCCATTTGAGTCACAAAATTTTAAGATACCTAACATTATTGTATACCAATAATATTTTATGATTTCTCATGTGGTTCTTCTATCAAAAGCATAGACTACCTTTGAAAATCTAGACCAATCAATAAGTTGATTCGTTCTAATTTTGTCCCAATTACTTGTATGCAAGAAATGGCTTTTAGGACCTTGTACAGCCTTCATATGTTTTTATTACAACAGAAGAAGAACTTCCAAAACATAATTGTACTTGGAAAAAAAACAACTGAAATTGATTTTGTTTTTTTTCTTTTTCTTTTTTAAGATTCTTGTCTATTCATTCATTTAGGATTGTATAGATCTGTTTTGGTGTCACATGAGATTTTTAAAATTATTTATTTAGCCTCCGTTTGGGAAGTGGGTTGGCTTTTTGGCTTTTTGGCTTTTTTGGCTATTTTAGCCTGGGCTAAAAAGCTTGGTTTGGGAAGGGCTTTTTGGCTTTTTGGCTTTTTGGCTTTTTTGGCTATTTTAGCCTGGGCTAAAAAGCTTGGTTTGGGAAGGGCTTGTTGGCTTTTTGGCTTTTTGGCTTTTTTGGCTATTTTAGCCTGGGCTAAAAAGCTTGGTTTGGGAAGGGCTTTTTGGCTTTTTGACTTTTTGGCTTTTTTTTGTGAGAGAAGAGTGTAATGATTATGGGTTGGATGTGATGTTTTGTTTGTTGTGGCTAAAATAGCCTGTTTTGTCTTTTGTGGCTATTTTAGCCCCAACCCACTTGCCAAACACCACCTTAGTGTGTTAAATCATCTGCAATAATTAAACATATCTTGAGATTTTAATATTTTTAAATTTTTGCATAATATAAAGACTAAATAATTTGAGATTGGGGACAAATAGATTTAAGGGTGATTTGGAGTTTGCTTATTTTTCTTTTGGTAACAAGTTTAGAAGCCAATTTATTAGTTTATTTGAGTCACATCACCTCCATACTTTTTACACGTTTTTTTATACTAAGTCAAAAAGTCAATTTATAAGTAACTTTTCAAAACAATCTTAGTAACATTTTGATTTTTTACAAAAAAAATTGGTAAAAAAGTAGAGAAGTGAAGTGAAAACTTTATAGTAAAATAAGCAAAGAAGTATACTTATGGAGACAAATAATCCTTAATTTTAAAATATTTAGAGTTTATAGTTCAAAATCTATTAAAATTTAAGAGTTATGATGGAGACCCCCTCAAAACTCTCACCCCCACCACCCCCACACACACGTGGGGGTTGGGGATTGGGAGAGAAGAAAAAAAAAAAAGAAAATAAAAAGAAAAATGGATCAATCAAAAGCAAAAGGAGTGGGGGAAAGGAGGTCTTAAACATTTTTAAAAATTTAATGAAGCAAAAATTAAAATAGCCAAACAAAAATGACTAACAAATATTTTCCACCCGCTCGCCATGGTTGGGCTGCTACTAAACAATGGTTGGGCCGCTACTAAACAATGAAATGTTATTTTTTTCAAGTGCATTTATGCAACTAATAATTGAGCTAATTCAATTAATTGCTCTCACATAATTCTATTCGAGAGGTCAGGGATTAATTTTTTTCAAAGATAAATATTAATTACTTCTTCTCTATTATAAGAATTGTATTAAATTGTTTATTTCCTTTCATTATGGGCTTTCTTATGGTGGTTGGTGAGCTTCTAACTATGTGTTATTGAACCATAATTATCTAATTTAATAAATAATCTTCTATCAATTGATCCCAAAATATATATATATATATATATATATATTCCATTTATGCCTGGATTGCCGTTTGCCAAGTACAACAAGTCATTTGGAAAGTTATGGATATCAAAAAATAAAAATCAAGAAAATGAATTGCATTATATAAAATTAAATTTAGTGTAAATGTGAATTACATTAAAAATAAATATAATTCACAAATTTCTTTAATAGATAATTTTCAAAGTAATTTTTTTTCTATCTAGAATTGCCTTTCTAACTCAACCTTTTATATGCACATCATAATTAAGACCAACTCACAAATGAAATAAAACAAGTTAAAAATAATATATATATATATATATATAAACAAAAAAAAGGCTTACTTAAACCATTCATTCATCCTATTGTAACATGTCACAAGGTTAAAATGTCCCAACAAGTGCATGATGGACATGTAGAACTCAAAATTCTGGTTTTGACATCCCACTTGAAGCCTCACTAGAACTTCCACTACTTGAATTACAACCATGCTTATCCAATCTCTGTGAGCTCAAATTCTGATCAAACTTTTGCCCCACCATCTCACCAGGGAAATTAAGGAGAGCCCTAGCACCGCGCATCTTAAAAGCCGCCCTATCATAGGCCATGGCAGCCTCTTCAGCGGTCTCAAAGGTGCCAAGCCACACGCGTGCACCGTGTCGCGCTGAATCGCGAATTTCAGCTGCAAATTTTCCCCATGGACGACACCTAACGCCCCGATAGTGCTTCTTTTTCCCTATTGTAGGGTTGGGTTGAAGGGCATTTGTAGCCTTGGTTTGGGTTTTGGGGGGCAAAAATGAGGGGCTAATAAGGGCATTGGCCTCATTTAGGACTTCACATAGGACCATGTCTTGTGAGTCATTCTCATTAAGAGGTAGCTCACTTTGGTGGGATGGAGCCATGGCCTCTTTTTTGCTAGCCTCTCTCTCTCTCTCTCACTCAGGCTTTTTAGGTGTTATGTGTGAATGAAATTTGAAGACTTAAAAGTCTATGTTATGTGGATGAACAGTTCCATTTAACTTTTGGGGACATAGAACTTTTCTTTGGAGAGGAAGGTGGGAGGAACTAGAACATACATTTATTTTTCCTTTTTTTCTATCTAGAGGTTTGGTAGGTAGCGAAGAAAGTTTGACCCCACGTTTTCCTCATATTACAATTATATTCCTTTTGTTTTTCACGCGGAATAATAAATAAATAAATGGGACACTTTTTCATAAATCTCTTTTTATCTATTTATATTCTATTTAGTTCATATTATTTTCTTATATTTCAATAAATTCTATAAGTGACATAGTTACTAAAATACTTTTTACAGTGTGAATGTTCCGTGATATGAATATTCACACTGTCAATGTGAATATTCACACCATCAATGTGAATATTAACATGTCAATTTAAATATTCACATTATCAATGTGAATATTCACATTATATAATATGAATATTCACATCACCAAATTATTAACCGTTCAAAAAAATATTTATAAGGGTAGAAATGTCCATAAAATACTTTAAATATGAGAATTAGGATTTGATAGATCAAATGTTCAAATAATAGGACTTATTAGAATACAAAAATATCTTATTAACTAATTAAGATACAAATACTTGAAAAAGGATCTTCTAATAAATCTCCCTAAATAAATAATAGTAATAATAAGAAAACTTTGTGGGTTTATTAGGTTATAATAAGTCTACTAAAAAGAATTTATAAATAAATCTCTCTAATAATAATAATAATAATACTACGGTGATCAAATTTGGGTTTCAAATTTTGAAAGAAAATGTTAATGAACTTTCTATAGGCGATCATTAGTCTTGAGAAATGCTATGATACACGTTTTTTAAAAGATGTGTACTATATGTACCTCACATATTTTTTGTGGTATATATTATGTATTTTTATTGTAAATATTATGTATTTTTCCTAGTAGAGTTACAATAATTTAAAATAAATAAGTTAAATAAATTAACTTACAACTTCTACCAAATTGGACCTAAGTGTTCTTAAATCATTTTCCTACCAAAAAAAAAAATCTTTTAAATAAATAAACAAATGGCAGAATATTAATGTTTGTTGATTAATGAGGGGCATTTAGGCAATTAGTGTGGATTTACAATGGCAAACTACTTGACACCCACTTTCTGGCAAGTTTGATGTTAATGTTTGTTGAATCCATCGTACACGTTGAAGGGAATTTATAAATTGACAATGATGCCTCTATTTTCTTCAATTAGGTCGGGGGTGACACATGTTTGAACTCTTTGGGACAAGGAAAATTATTCAGTGCGGTTGGAGTATCACGTGATTATGCATACCAATTATCAAATACTGTGTTTCTTGTTGTTTTTTATGGTTAGTGTCATTGGAGTATCATGTGTTTATGTTATCCATCAATCATTAAATTTTATGTTTTCAATTAATTCCCATATTCGGTGTTGTTAGAGTTGTTTCTTATGTTCGGTCTTGTTGGAGCATCATGTCTATGCTATTCATCAATCATCAAACTTCACGTTTCCAGGCATTTCTCATCTAACTCCGGTTGGTAGCTCGAAATATCAGAGGGTCGAATGGCTCGAAATCCCAAAACGACGTCGTTTTAGACTTTTTTGTATTCTCTTACCGGTAAGAGAATATTTTCGACCTATTCGACCATTCACTTTCGAGCTACCAGCCATTTTCCTTTCTCATGTTTGGTGGTGTTAGAGCATCATATATTTATATCACCTCTCAATTATAAAACATCATGTTCTTAATTATTTTTTCATATTCTGTTTCCTTTATCAATCATAACATTTCTAAAGCACCACATATTTATGTCGCAGAAACACTGAATAATTTATAACGGAACAAATTTGAGAAGTGATGTCATCACCTTCGTAGCATTCTTTGATAGGATTACATTGGTCCAACAAAACATCAAAACTTGTCTTCATGGTAGACCTTCCAACTTATGTTGCTGAAAAAGATTAACGAAAATTCAATACGAAACAGAAATTAGCGGTCCAAATTGAAAGATTCCTTTAAAAGGAAAATATGAAGTTCACGTGGTTTGATTTGACCAAATGGAAAAAGAATGACTAGATAATCACAATATAAGGTTTGGTTTGAAAACAATATTTTTAGTAGTTTTTTTTTTTAAATGTAAAATAAAATTATTGTTGAAAAAAATATTACATATTACATTTTATAAATGCTTTAAAAAAAGAAAAAAAAGAAAAAAAGGGGCTAACCCATTGGTTAGTAGATCCGCTATGTTGTCTTTAGACTTCACATATTCAATGGAAAAGGGGGGGGGAACACGTGACAGGCCTTTTGCTTGGGTATAAAGGAAGAAAGTCTCGAAGACAATACATGTTAAAATAATTTTCTGTGTATAATAAATAAATTGAAATAAAATCAAAAATAATTAAATAAAATAAATAACTTACAAAATTTATTTTTATCGAACCGAATGGAAAATAAAATATCAAGTCGAGTGTGTGACACTCTGTCTTTATGACAGATTCGCCCCGCTATGTTCCATACGGTTAAGTGGCGTCTATCTCTCAGGATATAATGATCTTCACAAATTTGTAGTAGCACTCCAAAGAAATTTGTCCGGCGAACTAAACCTTGTGTTTTAAACTCTCTGAATTTTTCTCTAAAATAATATGAAGAATAAATGCAAACAGAGATAAAAATCTAGACAGCAAACTGTATTTTTCAGACTGTTTTTCAACCCCCAAAACTGCTGGAATTTATAAGCAAACAACCAGTCTCGAGCAGGTATGAAACACATACTGAACAGATGGTTTTTTGAATAAGCAGGTGCTGTTTCAAATTAGAATAGATAATTGAATCTGTCCAGAAATTGTCTAGACAGTTTTGAGACAGATAACTGCTGAACATATCTTTTGGAACTGCTGGATAGATTTAAATCTGTCTGGGCAATTATATAACTGCTGAATAGATCCGTCTAGGTGCAACAGATATAAGACCTGTTTGGACTGTATGATCTGTCCGAACAGTGCACTGTGCAGTTTCAATCTGTGTAACTGTAGCAGTTATGAGCAGTTAACCTATTGGAATTTTCGGATTGAAGGAGACCAAAATGGACAGAAAATTAATTCAATTTTTGGCACAAAATTTGAATTTAAAAATTCAAATAAATTTTGTCCAAAAAATTAATATAAGAATCGACTCGACCCACAACCTACACCCGCGCCCAGCACGACACAGCTCAGCTCCGCCGGACGGACGGCGGTAGCGATACGCGCACGCATGGTGGTTTGGGCTAAGGTTCACTTTGTCTATAACTCCTCCTTCCTACAAACTTGGGGTGCTCCTTGGGGCCCAACCCAAGGTTGTACACCTAGAACTTATATACACACATAAGTTCTCTTCAAGTTTCAATATGGGACTACCTTTACAAAGAAACCCACATTTAAAACTTTAAATGTCCAATTCCACGAACCCGAAAACGACGTCAACTTCCCATTCACTCATAAATGATTTTGACGAATTGTCTTCACCGTGTGATTTGCCATGCGACAAGGAACATGTTACCTCTTCGGATCCACCCTAAAAGACATTTGGGGCCCACTCAATTTTGGGCTTAAAGTTGGCCCAAAATAAGCTTTATAAAACCAATTTTTCCAACAATCCCCCACATGAATGGAATTTGACGAAGAGAAAATGCAACAACATGATCTAATTACAGAGAGTACAGAAATTGGAAATATTCTACAAAGGATAGGTAGCTTTTGGCTTTGAACTTTCCCTTGTGAAACACTATCGGATTTACTAGCTAACCAGTGAACATGATGTCTTGAACTATTCAGCTGTTTGTGTAAACCAAGACAATAGAACTTACACAGTATATTACCAGACACAGTTTAGTTCTCACTATTGTGTTCATTTTGGCCCTGAACAACCTGGTATTTCATGAGTGCTCTAAAGAATTGTACCCCTTCACAAATCTCATAGAACCGGCCCAGTTCATACTCACATAGATGATTCTTATAAAGAGTATCCTGTCATACTCTACTAGGTTTACATATATATAAGAATCATTAAAAGTATTACTTAACCTAAACCGTTGCAGACATCACTATTTCATCCTAGAAATGGGTAGGAGTTGGACTCCCTAGTGATCCTTCTGAGTCATTCACAACTTGATTGTCCTTTTGAACCTAGATCTTGGGATCTCTAATTAACTAGGTTGGGTTGCCGTTATGGTAACTCTTATTTAATAGGCTTAAGTCCCATTCCCCTCGATGAATTCTCAACTAACTCTCTTGCTAACCCATTGGTTAGTAGATCCGCTATGTTGTCTTTAGACTTCACATATTCAATGGAAATAATTTCATTAGAGAGTAGTTGTCTCATGGTGTTATATCGACGACGAATGTGTAGTGACTTACCGTTATACATATGACTCTGTGCTCTACCTATTGCTGATTGACTATCATAATGTATGCATATAGCAGGCACCGGTTTTGGCCACATTAGGATATCTTCAAGGAAGTGGCAAAGCCATTCTGCTTCTTCCCCAACTTTATCTAAAGCTATGAATTCTGATTCCATAGTAGACCTCGCAAATGCAAGTCTGTTTGGAAGATTTCCAAGATACAACCACCCCACCAAGAGTAAAGACATACTCACTGGTGGACTTTGAGTCTCTAGTATCCTATATCCAATTTGCATCACAGTATCCTTCAAGTACTGCTAGATATCTAGTATAATTAAGCCCCATATTACGAGTAAATGAGAGATATCTAAGAACCCTTATAATAGCTTTCCAGTGTTCTACTCATGTATTACTCGTATATCTACTTAATTAACTTACTGCATAAGCTATATCTAGGTGAGTGCAGTTCATCAAGTACATTAAGCTTCCAATAATTTGGGTATACTCTAATTGAGAAATACGTTCCC